TCGTTTTCAGCTGTGGTGATGGTTGATGCAGGGGTGTGGTTGGGGCAGAAACGGCGTTCAAAGGGAATTAAATTGAAAACTTTCCAGGGGTGTGCCTTAGCTTCATTTCTTTCTTTTTTTTTTTCAGAACCTTTTGGTTCTGGCTCCTACCATTCTGGGGCGCGACAGTCTGGTTCCTTTCCCCCGGCAAGTAAATAATAGATACATAAGAAACTCACGCACACTCCTCCCCATTATGGCTGGGAGGGCCGAGTAGACGGCATTGATTACTTCCATAAGGAAGGATGTAGCTTCATTTCCTTCACTTATTTCTTTTATCATTTTTTAATTACTCAGTTCAGTAGCAAATTTTGAAGTGACCCTTGCACAGGAATCCTGTGCAACTTACTTCTCTTTGTGGATTTGCTTCCATTTTTATTTTTTTAATCACTTTTGTAAGTTTTGTCAAGTTTTCTGACTTTTCCTTTTTTTTTTCTGTTTTTGTGCCAGGGCTGCCTGGTGCTGCATGGATATACCCCTGCCAGGCCGCATGATGAGAGGGGATAAACAGCGTACTAAACGCACAGTCTACCCATCTATCAAAGAAAACTTGTCGTACAGATGCAAAGTCTGCAGACCAATCGAGTTTGGAAGGAGGGCCCAAATTTTATCGTGAAATTTCAACGAGTTCTCAAGAAAAACCTTACCCAAAAAGAAAGTCTGGAAAACCCTTTGCTGCAAACTATTTACGGAGGTCTCATAGCCTGCTTTCTTCAGCGGAACCGAACGCCTTGTCATTATCGCCGTATTTGGTGCACCTCTCAGTCCAGATACAGCTATACTGACAGGGCGTTCTATTCGGGTGAAGACGGTAGTACCTTCACTGGGATCTGGGATTGAATCATGGCATGCTACCTTCGTCACCCCAATACAACGTATGGTCATAATTGCTGTTTCTTTAGACTGAAAAGTACCCCAAATACAGCAATCATCACCGTACGTTGTACTCGGGGGAAGAAGGTAGTCGATCTGGAAAAGCTATCTACTGCAGCTGCAGTGCAGCCACATTCTACCACTTACTGGACCAGGAACAGAACTCTTGTCCACTTGGTGTCTCCATACTCCCGTTGGCCCATAGTGTGCGCTCATTCTCTTTATCTTCATATTCTGGAAGCTTCCATTAAAAGGGAACGTCATCTCTATTCGACAACGCAGAAACTCCAACACCTGCTCTTTTGATCAGTCCATGTCAGACTGAAATTGTGTCAGTAGCAACTGACATGGACTGATGAAAAAGAGCCAGTGTATGCACGAACGCAAAAACTTTCGTGCGGATCCGGTTTGCCCGTGTAGAATTGACTGGATGCCCCCCATCATATGGACAGTAAACACGGAGACGTCATGAATTAGGCTGATCCCACTTACCAGCCTTCGATTGGCTCCCAGAGAACGCAAGAAGCGCCATTTGGCAAACATGCACGTCATGCAACCACGTGAGGGGCTGATGTTTTCCCCATGGGTACCCCCAAACACCTGCGTCAGGAGAATCCCTGATACCTGGGTGTATGCACGCGACAAGTCCCAACCGTATGGACTTGCGAATCACTCCAAAAGTCATCGTGAAGCATCCTTCCGGCTTGTTCGTACCGAAGGAAACCCCTTTCCCAGTCAGGTTCACTTTGACAGAATTTCTGTCATTCCTTGAGTTGTGCAAGTCATCCTTGCGCAGGGGCCGTGCTAATCTTCTCTCTGTAGTTCCAATTTTAAGAAGTGTCCCGAAAGCTCCCCAAAGGACACATTGAAAGAATTCCCATCCCTGAAAGTATCCAATACCCAGTTGGTCGAGCGCCTGTGTTCTACAGGTTCCTCTGTCGCAAGTCACAGGCTGCCGGTTCAAGTCCTGGCTGGTTCGAACGAGTGCCCGCGATCGGATCCGACGTATTGGACTCCAGCGCATTTACATTTCCGGTCGGGTACCCCACGGGGGGGACGGTAGCAAGGCTGTGTAGATGTTGTATGAGGGGTCTTGCGCGTTGACCGTCCTGCTGGCTGTGCTTAGAACATACACAGTTGGGGGGGGGGGGGGGGTCGCTGAGGGACTGGGTACCACTGGGGGTCTCCCGCCTTGGAATGCCCCGCTCTGCCCTGGGTGTGTCGTGGGAGTGTGATTATGGCACTGCCACATTGGCCATCAGGGTAGGGCCTGCCTATACCTCAGCCTGCACAACCTTAAAAAAAGAAAAAACGAAAAAAAAAGTATCCAATGCCAAGTCAACAGCAGCTAGGATGTCCATGTGTGGCCTGCACAACCTTTAAAAAGAAACAGGGAAAAAAAAAGTATCCAATGCCAAGTCAACAGCAGCTAGGATGTCCATGTGTGGCAGCTTACTGAACATGTCTTTGATATCATATGAAACCTCCCATCACTCTGACATCCTTACTAGCCCTGGCATTCTTACGCTTGATCCGCTTCGACTTTTCAGCTATGCAGGAGAGCAGCCTGCAAATTGAAATGAGACTCACTCACCAGATGTCGCATGCCCGAAGACAATCAGATGGGCATGACGCAGAACCCAAGAACCGACCAAGGAGAAAGAGCAAAATACAATGTAGCGGAAGACTGATACACACAGATCTGACCCAATGACTGAGACGGACTGCAACTCGCTCAGCATCATCAGTGGGGTGAGAGGGCATGGCGCTGGAGTCTCGAAAAATAGTCCCCCAATGCCTCTGTCCAAATATCGGCCTGAGTCCAATGTCACCAACTCTCTCTCTCTCTCTCTCTC